TATTTGCCAAAGATATATCTGATAAGGGGCTAATTTCCAAAGTATACAAAGAACTCATACAACTTAACAAGAGCAAGACGAACAAACCAATTAAAAAATGTGCAAAGGACCTAAATAGACACTTCTCCACAGAGGACACACAGATGGCCAAGAGACACATGAGAAAATGCTCGACGTCGCTAATCATCAGAGAGATGCAAATTAAAACCACAGTGAGGTATCACCTCACACCTGTCAGAATGGCTCCATCAACAAATCAACAAACGACAGTTGCTGGCGACGGTGTGGAGAAAGGGGAGCCCTAGTACCCTGCTGGTGGGAATGCAGACTGGTGCAGCCACTATGGGAAACAGTATGGAGGTTCCTCAAAGAATTAAAAATGGAGCTGCCTTTTGACCCAGTGATTCCACTTCTGGGAATATATCCTAACAAACCTGAAACATAAATCAGAAAGAATATATGCACCCCTATGTTCATAGCAGCACAATTTAGCTAAGATCTGGAAACAGCCCAAGTGCCCATCAGGAGATGAGTGGATAAAAAAGCTGAGGGACATTTACACCATGGAATACTACGCAGCTGTAAAGAAGAAGGATCTCATACCCTTTTGGACAGTATGGATCGACCTGGAAAATATTATGCTGAGTGAAATAAGCCAGGCAGAGAAAGACAAACATCACATGATCTCACTTGTATGTGAATCTGAAGAACTTAATATACTGATAAACAGAATAGATTCAGTGACATGGAAGCATGGATCAAACTGACGAATCTCAGAGGGAAGGAGAGGAGTGGTGGGTGGGGTGAGAGAGAGTAACCAAAGAATTTATATGCATATATGAATAATCCAACGACACAAAACAATGGTGTGGTGAGGGACTGGGGTGGGAGGGGGGTGGGATAGGATGGAAGGGGTAATGGGGAGATAAAAGGGACATCTGTAATATTTTGAACAAAAATAAATAAAAATAGCCAATCTTTTGGGGAAAAAAAATAAATAAATCTCTGCCCTGGCCCTGGCTGGTGTGGCGCAGCTGGTTGGAATGTCCTCCCATACACCAAAAAGGTCGAGGGTTTCATTCCTGGTCAGGGCTCATACCCAGGGTGCAGGTTTGATTCCCAGTCAGGGCACATGCAGGAGGCAAGCAACTGATGTCTCACTCTTACATCGATATTTCTCTCTCTCTCCCTCTCTTTCTCTTCCTCTAAAATCAATAAAAAGCATGTCCTTGGGTGACGATTAAAACCAACAACTCTGCCCTCATGAAGCTTACAGTCTCACTAATGGAATGAGACAGATAATCAACAAAATAAATTGGCAAAATATATTGCATGCCAGATGGTGATGGGTGCAGTGGGGAAAAGTGAAGCAGGAGGAGAGAGTGTTTGCTGGGGATGGGGCTTATGTGGCTATCTGAAACACACACACACACACACACACACACACACACACACACACACACACACACACACCATTCCAGGCAGAGAGGCAGGGAAGAGTCCGTGCCAAAGCCCTGTGATGGAAGCATGTCTGAATGTTGGTGACATAGCAAAGCGGCTAGTGTGGTTGGCAGAGCAAGATCAGGAGAAAGAATAGTAAGAGATGATTTCCGAGAGCATCAGGGAGCCCAATCATGTAGAGCCTGAGAGCCCATGTAAAGACTTTGGCTTCCACTCTAAATAAGATGGGAAGTACTTGGAAATTTTATGCAGAAGAATGACATGATTTGTCTTGACTTTATATTTTAAAACAGTTTAAGAATAGATCATAAGGGGGAGAAAGCAGAAGAGTGGAGATTAATTAGAAAGCTCTGGCAACAATCTGGGAGAAAAATAATGCTGGCTTAGGCCAGGTAGTAGGACTGGGAGTAGGAGTTGGAGCCTGAGTATATTGACAGAGCAAACAGGATATACTTTTCTGAAAAGCAGGATGTAGGATGAATCACAGGATGGGTAAAGGGGACACAGAGCACTGGATTTTGTGTGCTTTGAACCTGTTTTTATGAAATATTACCTAGTTTGTGATTAATAAATTCCTACCTTTCAAATCCTCACTTTCAGTTTTAATTTTATTTAAGTACAAAAGGCTTCCCCCTCCCCCCCTCTTTTCTCTGTCTCTGAGTAGGTTTACCACCACTCTGGGAATTTTTCTAAATTTTTACAATCAGGAGAACTATGTGACTGAGTTATCCTAAGTGACTTTCCCTACAGTTTTCCCAGTCTGGCTAAATACGCAAAGCTTAAGCTGCTTGTTTCCAATTCAGAATAGCAATATAAGAAGAGTAAGGAGGAGGTGGTGACGCCGTCCCAGGGATGAGCCAGCTGGAGTCACAGGGAGACACCGGCACTCCACGAACCTCAGATCCACCAGCTCCGAGTCACCCCTTCCTCCTCCTCTCCATTCTCTATGACCCTCCCAAGTCTTGTCCACCAAAACCTGCCTGTTGTAAGTCCAAATCTCTCAGTTTCCTGCAAGGCAACTGGTAATCCATTTAATAAGCCAATTTAAATCAGATTATTAGTGACTAGAGGATTAGTCCTATGGCTCTCTGCATTTTAAGAGGAACTCAGAAAGGCAGTGGCTGGAATGCGCAGGCGCTGCGAAAACAGCTGTTTAGTCAGGAGTTCTCTGGTGTGTGACCTGGCGGCTGTAACTGCTGTCAGATTTCCATTTGTTGGACGTCAGGCTCAGGTAGCTGCTGGCTGTGTATCTGTTGTTGCTCTCTTTCGAGGGCTTGGTGGTCTCCACACCCTGGGTGACCAGGTTGCCATTTGCCTTCCAGGCCACCATCAAGTTGCTGGGGTGAAAGTTGCTAATGAGACACACCAGTGTGACTTTGTTGTTGTTGAGCTCCTCAGGGGAGGTGGAAACAGAATCGCTGAGGGTGCAAACTTGGGCTAACCACAGTGATTGAAACTAACACCCACCAGGCCAGCACCTGGGGCCTGTCCCTGGGAGGCCAGCCTGGAACAGGAACCTGCTGTCCCTCAGGTTCTGAGGGCTGCTTCCTTCTCAGGTCTTGGGGGCCTGGGGCTGTAGTCAGGGGCAGCAGGCCATGGGTGGCCATAGCCAGGCTTAGCAGCATCAGGGGTCAGCACTGCTTGGGGCCAGGGCTGTGTCCCCTGGTGTCCTCATGGTTCACTTGGCCTGTCCTGGGCTTCATCTGCCTTCAGGGTCAAAGGCACATCTGGCCTGACCTTCAGTGTAAACTCCCTGGAGGGTGTGGGTGCTGTTGACAGGTGTCCCTAGTCCTCACTGGCAGTGGCCATCCAAGTGTGCCCTGAAGAGCCCCTGCCCCTGCCTGGGCCTTCTCTGGTGCTTGCCTTCAGTGCTTGGTTCTCTCCAGGGTTGTTACCCCAGGGGATCTTCCTTAGAGTGGCATCTGCCAACTGCCCTGCTGTGGTTGGGAACCAGAGCTCAATAATCTCCCACCGCAACCCCTGCTGGCCCTGCCCCTGCCACGCTGGGTGGGACACACCTGCTCCTTTCCTCTTTCCTCCCTGGTTCCCCAAGGCTGCCCCTGGTCTACAGAGTATCTCCCTGGGGCCTGAAGGGGCTGTGGAGGGCAACCAACTGCCCAGTGGATGAAGAATTAAGTTCCTTGGGTTGGGCCTGGGGCTTCTCTTCTGACCAGGCTGGGTCCTTGCACACTCCACTCCTGCCAGTCAAGCCCAGCACCTCCTTGGCTGGTTTGGTCAAGCCTGGTAGGTTTGGTCAGCTCCTTACTCTACTTCTTAGCTAGGCAAGGGTGCTGCAGAGAGTGATCTCTACCCCTCACTCAAGGAGTAAGGTCAAGCTCATGAATGTTGAAACCATCCAGACCTAGGCTTCCTCTGGACATCAGCTGCTGGTATCTGTGAAACGGAGAGAGTCCCTCTGCAGTAGGGAGGGCCTGAGGATGAATGAGCTCATGTGTCTGCTAAGTGCCAGCACACAGCGGGTGTTGAACCAGTGCCGGTGCCCTGTGCACCTCTTCTTACTTTGGGCTTTGGGGCAACTCCTTGAGCCAAGTGTACCTGTTTTACAGGTGGGAAAACCAAGGCCCAGGGAAGATGAATGCAGGACCCAAGGTGGTTCCGGGATGCAGGGTACAGGGTGAGCTGGAATCTAGGAGTTAGCGTGTCCCCTGCATTCCCAGTCTTCTGCCCACCTGGAAGGCTTGTGCTCTGATCCCAAGGGAGCCAAGCTTTGTGTTCTGTTGGGCAGGGGTACAGGAGGGATGGGCAGTACAGGTGTTTTGGGTTGGGGTCCGTTTTGAAGCCCAGAAATATAATACATAATATGACAATGAGAGTGCTGAGCAGTCTTCAGTACTGTCCCTGAGACCATGTCAGGAGGTCCATAAAGTCAAAAAGATTGTCACAATTATCCCCATACATTATTTGCCTTTTTCACTTTCATTCTCTCACGAGTGTGTTGTGGAGTTTCCAGAAGCTACATGATGTGTGATGTTGACAATCACTCTGATGCCTACTAGAATGTGGGCTTGTACATTTGTTTTTAAAATTTATCAGTTTTAATTTCAGCTATGGCAAATATCAAGACATATTTCACTTTACAAGGAAACTCTTCGGGGGTCTTCAATAATGTTTTTAAGCATGGAAAGGGGTCTTGAGACCTAAAGAGTTGAGAACTTCTGCGTTAAGTTAACCTGCCTGATCTGGCAGCTGAGATACCAGACATATTGCAAAACCAGAAGCAGGGTGGTAATTCCTACTAAATTCCAAACTGAGTGAGGTTATCAGTTTGCAAAAGTTGGTATCTAAAAGCAAAACTGAAAGTACACATATAAAGGTGTGTTCAAAAATTGGCCAGGTCATATCTAAAGGACCCAGCCACCAACTTGAAGGAATTTCCACTGATTAGATCAGGGACATCTTTCCATGGTATCTTTAAGGGGTGAGAGATACAGGGGAGGGGAGGGTTTCACTCACAGAGGAAAAATACAAAGATTATCATTAATCTCCACATTTCCCAACAGAAGATCATAAACCAAATATTTAGAGTTCACACTTTTAATTCTTCAGTATCTTATACAAATGTAAGAAATAACACAGAATTAAATAACATCTGAAAAGCTTACTAAATATATAAATATCCAATTCAATAGTGAAAACAACTTAAGTTTTAGTTTCTAGGTCACTGGACAGAGACAAGAGAGCCAAAGATACTGAAAAAGTCACTAATTTGGTCTTATGATTATTAAAGAGTTCAAAAAGTGTTCCACTAGTTAAAACAATATATTTAGAACACAGGGAATTGTACACCCACACATGCATCCACTGCTAGCTACTGTGAAGAGTGAACTCATGGGAGAAGAAAGCTAGGAGAACAACGCATTTGAACTGGCCGACTGCTATTTAGGACACCTAAATGCCTGGTTTCATAATATATTTTCATTATACACACTAGTCTGAATTCCGAATGACTAAAATAGGGCTAGGTCACATTATGAGACAAATGGACAAGGAACGCATGCTTTTTAAAAAATGTGAGTTGCTGCCTAAGACTAACAATGTCTATTCTGCTATAAAAATAGGCAAGTAAAGTTAAGGTTGCCATGTTGTTTCACAATAAATTCAGTCCAATTTTCAATGTGATAGCTGTCACAGAAATACATGAAGAATAGCAGTGAAACCAAGGGTTCTAGAGAGACCAGCTATGGCAAAGCAGAAAGCAGGGAGTGGACTAGATATCAAGGGACAAGGCAGCAGACTCATGGACCTAAGCACAGCAAGGGAAGAAGCGATGGAACAGCCACAGAAAAGCAAAAGGTAATCTCAGAAAAGTTCTTTGGTCCTTAACCTTCCCAACTTCTCTCTTCTCTCTTTTTCATGTCTTTCTACTGGAATTACATCAGTTTTTAGAGCAGAATAGCAAATTATCTGGTCCAACTCCTTAATTTTCTGGATGCTGTCTTGGAAGTTAATGGACTAGTGATTAACACACGGTTGCTACCAGTCTCAGCCAAAATCAGCCTCACACTGCGGCTCCTCATGCTAAGTCCAGTGTCCATTCAACAGCACAACACTGCATTGCTTTACAAAATCAATCCTTACAACAGACCTGAGAGGTAAAATGACTTCCTTTTGTAATTCACACAAGCACTGATTAGCTTAGATGGCAGTAGAAAGTCTTGAAATTCTTAGGCCTTTTACTTCTACCTCTTTTGCTCGCATAGGTCCCTGGAGAATGAACCTTTTAGTCCTGCTTTCCTCCTGTGTCAGATTCAAGTAGACCAGAGAATAACTTCCAGGGTTCTGTGACTCTTCTAGGGCTCTGGATAAAAGAAAGATCAGGGTGTTAACTTTGCTCATTTATAATTTTTATCTTAATAGATTTTAAGAAGATAAACAACAGAAGGGCCAATCATCATAGAATTCTCCTCATGCAGATTTCATCAGCAAAGATAAGGAATTAGACATTCTTGATCCAATGTGATGTGAGGGGAGTGTGATTCTCTTTAAAAGAATATATAGGTATTTCTAGGAAGTAAAGGTTTGCAGAATCACTTAAGACTACAAGTAAGAGAACATGTCCGAGAATTCCAAACTATCTATGTGTATTTTATCTATAAGACTTTGAGCTTTGTTTCCTGCGGATACTAACTTGCTGGACATTGAGTTAAGAAAGGTCACAAAGCAGACAAATGGAGATTCTTTAAGGGGCAGCTGGCTTGTTAGCACAGAAACTAGGAGGACATGGGCCTCCCTACAAAACACGTAGGCTGTGAAGTAAACGACCTGGAATTTTATCTTGGCACTATTTCTCACTGTGTGTAATCTTAAGTATTTCTTATCAAATCTTGAAAAAGTTCTGCATGTTTGAACCATGCTAATATTTCCAAAAGACAGAGAACAGCACAGGCAAGAATGCCCAGGCTAAAGGGTCTGTTAGCCAGTAACTTTGTGACCAGATTGTACCATGACATTTTTATATGATGGGTGGCATATGCACCCCTTCAAGGGTAACATTTTATAGAAAAAAATAGCCTTGAAATGCAAGATTTAACCCAGGAATTCTGACCTGGGTGTTCAATAAAGATTGCTTAACACTTTTCTTAGAAAAGCATTACATTTCTTCTGAGAACTATGAGGAAATTGGGGTAGGGATGACGGTTACCGCTCATCCAACCTTCATCTGGAAACGTAAATACAATTATTTAGCAAAGCAGAGTGTCTTCTTTTTTTTGTAAACAAATATTCTTTGTATTGTCCTTTCATCTAATCACCAACTTCACCATTACAAATTGTTTATTGGTCATCTCTGTTATGTGACATAGTATTAAGCTTAAAATAGGAGAAAGTAACATGATCCTACCCAGGATGCAGTGTTTTACTAACATTGCCATTGATATCACTGCAAAGGGCCCACTTACAGATTAGGTTATTGTGAAGTGAAAGAAATCAAGGTAATTATATAGACAATGTGGGTAACAGAAAAACACTTCTACATGAAATAGCTAAGCTCTTGAAGAAAAAGTGAAGTTTGGAGCATGCATTTCACATGATTGTCTGCATTTTCTATTGTTTTCCAGTTCAGCCTTGACTCAATGAAACAAAAGACAATTTCTACTGAAAATAAAGATTTCTAGAAATTAAGTGATTGTCTATGATGATCTGCCTCAAAGTGATGTTTTTGTTTCTGAGAAGCATATAATGATTTTGGGTTGATTAATGAGAAATAAAAGATCATTCTTAGCCCCAGGTTAACTTGATTGTAGTATATGTGGAAGAAACAAATTTATGACAGCAACTGGGTTTAAAAGAAATAACTATTGTAGAATGGTGGAAAATTTCCCTGGGAAATTTTAATTTTTTTTTTACTTTCTATTTCAGTAATAAAGGACTTGATTCATTAAAAAAAACAAGGGTTCTCTGAAAACCTATTATTTTTTGCCGCAGTCTCATGGGAAAGAGCTGCAACAATCCTACCAGGAATGGCGCAGTGAGAAAGTGCCTGTAACTCAGTACACCTTCCTTCAGAATGCAGCCTTGCTGTTGAAAAAGAGAAAAGTCAAAATCATACTCTCTGGCATCATACAGAACCACATAAAAGTTAAGGGAGTCTAACTTCTCTATAAAAATAAGAGCAGTTTTTAGAAATTACCCGTGTTCAAAAACTATAAATCTGCTTATGTTTTTGTGAGCAATCAATAAATGATTTTGATCTAAAATAAACTTTATCTAACAAAGAGTACAAAGAGTTGAACCTTACTTCATAGACTTTCCTTACCTACCAGATTTGTCTTTCTGGTGATGAGCTCCACAGAGATGATTCTTTGTCTACCTATATTCAATAAGTTCAAGAACTAACGCATCCCTCTTCTCCTCTCCACAGACTGAACACACATGGGCATGAGCACACACACACACACACACACACACACACTCTCAGTTCCCCCTCTATTTCTGTTTACATCATCATTTTTCAGGTCAAGTCACAAATCTTGGTGACATTTTCCCTGCCCATCCAGAAGTTTTAAGTCTTAAGGAGATGATGGGGGGGGGAAGAGGGAGGGAAACCCCAAAAGTAAGAGGAAAGAAAGATGGAAAGCAAAGGTGGTAGGACTATTCACTTTTATCACAAATTGGCAATCAGAATTTATTACTTGAAGAAATGAAAAATGATTTTCTTCCCCTTCTTCCAACTTTGTGCAACTTAAATTTTGGTCTTAAACTAGTATTTTCTTAGCCTTGAACATTTAAGTCTCCAGCATAGTCAATATTTTATTTTACTAGCTATTTAAACATATGGGGTCAAGTGATACGGTTGTTAAAATTTTTGAAACCAAACAAAAAATCCAGGCACTCAAAATATGCCACTGAACACTCAGTGAAATCAACCAAACTGTCCTTATGTCATGAAGACATCGCCAGTAAACAGCACTCCTAGTTCTTAACAGATTCAGTACAGGCCAGGTGTCTATAGTAGTCCATTTTATTCACAGTTTTGCTTTCCAGGGTTTCAGTTACCTGCAGTCAACTGAGGTCTAAAATAGAACATAGAAAACTGCAGAAATAAACAATTCATGGTTTTAAATGAAATTTACTGGGGTGACATTGGTTAATAAAATTATATAGGTTTGAGGGTACAATTCCATGATACATCATCTATATATTGCACTGTGTGTTCACCACCCAAAGTCAAATCTCCTCCCATCACCATATACTTGATCCCCTTTACCCTTTACTACCTAAACTTTGCAGGGTTCCCAGTAGTGGAATGAAATCTTACACAGTTGTACTCTATCACGCCTGGATGTGAATTTTCCCTTTGGCCAGCATATCCACACTGTATATACTCCCTGCCCATTAGAAACTTAGTAGCCATCTAGGTTATCAGATCAACTGCAGGAGTGGGTATCTGTTGTAACCCTTATTTTACTTAATAATGTCACATCACACAACTTTATTACTGTATACTGTAATCGTTGTTTTCTTATTTTTGCTAATCCTTTACTGTGCCTAACTTATAAAGTAAACTTTATCAGAGGTGTGTATAGGCAAAAACGTAGTATCTACAGAATTCAGTACTGTGCTCGGGTTCCCTCATCCGCTGGAGTTCTTAACATGTATCCTCCATAGATAAGGGGGAACTACTGTACTTAAATGAGAAAAGGCCTGGGCACAGAGATAAGCTGACTCTTTTTGTTTCAGGAACTGGATAAGGCATTAAACAGTTATATTTCTCAGAAAATCCAAGACTTAATGAACAGAGAAGACAATTCTTTTGCAAATGCCCCTTGCTAGTGGAATTCACCTTGGGCTTAAAGAGATTGCATTATGATTCTTGTCCAAAAGGGACTTTTAGAAAAGAAGTTGAACACTTTATACATTCCTACTAAACTTTCCAAAAGAATACCGCAGTAACAGCAAACACAGATAAGTGCAGCTGATAACAATAGCACCTTTCAAGCCAGGACTCCAGGGGCACATGAGGAGAACATTCTGGCAGAGGTCAGGAGACCAGGGAGTCCTAAGCCTGCTGCTGACTGGCTGTGTGATCTTAGGGCATAAAGTCAACTTTTCTCTGCTAGGCTTCAGTTCCTAATAGGAAAAATAAAATGTTTGGATAAAATACAATCAGCCTTCTGTTTTTGGTATTCTGCAAATCGCTAAGGAGCTCCATGGGCTTGCTGATCTGCAATCTCCCTTCCCTAACAGAACAAATACCTGATCTACTTCTACGAAGGGGTAAATGACACAAGATTTGTTGCTTTTCTTATAAAACCACAAGAATGAATCTGGTGTTTACAAAAGTCTTATGCAAAACTAAGTGTTCAAAAACTCTAGAACTTGAAAGATATTAATCTATGAGACATAAACTACAAGAAAGAGGTTGCATTCGAGTGAGACTTAACAGACATCTAAAATAATACTCAAAGCCAACATTTTCTTTTCTTCCCTTTCAGTCATCTGAGATGGAGAAAACTCCCATATCACCCTTCACCCTAGGAAATTCCCATCAGCTCACATAAATAGCAGTTTTGCATGAGCTTTAATAAATTATGCCTGTCTTCAGAAACCAGAAAATTTTAATTCTCTCTCTCTAGCTGACTCCTCTTGTTCTACAGCATCTTTAGTTTTATAATGTCTCACAAGGTTTTAGACTTAGCATTTATGTGGTACTAAATTTACAACAAGAAAAAAGGAAATTTTAAAAAATCGGTTTGAAAATCTACCTTTCTACCCATTCATTTATTCAGTCACTATTTTAATGAAGGTTTATTGAGCACCTAGTATACATAAGACACAGTGATAGATGCTGGTGGGAATGGGGAGGAATTTATAGCCTGTAAGGGCAGAATGATATGACACAGTTATCATAAGTACGGCTCACTTATATGTTGTTTATAATGTTTGAGACCCAGTGAGAGTATAATACAAGAAAGCACTACTTAATTATTGATCATTTTGGACACTTTCGCAGTCTCTTCAATGGAATAGCTGGCCTGTGAAATCCTATAAAAAGAGAAGAGATTGTTCCTCTCACTAAGAGATAGAAAGAACACAGCATGTTTTTCTCCGGTTTTGTCATCAGAGGATTTTATAGCCATCAGAAACATTTTCCACATTTCCTCTCATTAGCCCTCACTCTCAATTTACAAAACGATCAGCCTTTAAACTATCTCAGCCAAACCAAAAACACAAACATTCGGTTTAACGTCCAATGGCAAGAACATGATGCCAAAGTGTTATTTTAAAATACCATTAACACTTATGTATTTGGGACACAACAAACAAAACAAAAACACACTGTTGCCATCCCCTTATTTACATCTTCATGTGACCCCCAAATTATCATTCAGAAATCATTTGTTTCTTTCTTTGTACTTTTCTGTGATAACTCACCTCTGTCTTGGGTCCGATGACGTTTCCAGTATAGTAAGATTGAGATTAAGATCAGAAGAATTACCAGGGAAACAATACTTAAGAGTAGTGGGACTGAAAACCAAAAGCCTATAGATATTGAAGGGGAAAAAGGGAAAACAAAGTCAGAAAAGGAAGCTGCTCAGGGCAATAAAGATAAGCAATAGCCGTGGCGAGCTTTTATTAGTTAAACTTTCAATGAACATTATTCTTAAACGTATACATACTGATGTCTATATTTATGACATACCGTTGTAAAAACACTTACATAATAATAATAGGTAACATGTTTTATGCAGTTACTATGTGATAAGAACTTTGAATGTGTTATCTCATTTAGTCCTGAAAACACTCCAAGTCAGGTATTACTGTGACTATTTAACATTAAAAACAAACAAACTGAGGCTCAGAAGTTAAATAAACCCCAAATCAGCATAGTGAGTGGTTGAACCAAGGCTGGTTCAGAGATCTATTTGCCTCAAAGGACATACGCTTTGTCATTCATACTGTCCATTAAAGTATGTTTACTGAGGAAGTTTAGGGAAACACAGAAAAATATAAAGGGAAAATCATTATAAGTAATATAAGTTACTTTTGATATTCTTGGAAAAAGAGACCTGTGCCTTTTCAGCTTCTTGTTTTTCAAGAAAATTTACCCTCCGCCTTGGCTGAATCTGAGGTTCATTTCAAACATGTCCAAATCTAACACCACAAGCCTTTTGATGAAATTGACCTAAATGTTGACTTTTTCATTTAGTCTTTTTTTCTCAAGGACTCCAGAAATGCCTACAGGAGATATTCCTTAGAGGCCACCGCACCAATGAGGCAAACATGGGGAGCTTTTTCAGGTTTCATTGTTCAAAATGCCAATCCCTTCCCCCACAAAAAGCAGCAGTATCTTTCTAGAAGGCTTCTTCCGGAGTGCCTCAGCCAGAGATAGTGCTTCAAAACTACAGAGAAAGAAACTGTGGCTGTTATCACTCCTCCCTTTACGCTCTCTCCCATAACCCTTACCTCCTGTATCCATGAGGCCTGGAGGTAGCAGTTTAGCTAGAAACACAAGAGAGCAAAAAGGGTCTCAAACAGGAGGCAGTTCGTTTTAAAAGAAGCGAGGCAAACAACCTCAGATCGACCCCTTTCCCACAGTGTAGATTCCACAAAGGTTTCAGCACAGATGTCTCCTAGGTATCTCTCTGATCTCCCCAGTTGAGCTGATGCCTCTCCTTCCCACCCGCAATCCTCTCAGGGGGCACCGTGGCTTTCTTATAGAAGCACTTAATTTGCAGTTTTACAATTGCTCAGCCGCTTCAGTATTTCCTAGTAGACTAGACACTCCCTGAGACTTGCTCACTGTTGCAAAGCCTGGCACACGACAGACACTCAGTAAATGCGAGCTTGGAAGGATAAAGGAATGCATGGATCTCAGCATTTGGTATGGGGGCACCATGCCACATTTACCATTTATCATTGGCTTTATTGGCTCCCACAACTCTGTCTTCCTTCCCTGGCTTAATCCATTCTCTCCTCTATGAGGTGTTTTGCTAAGAGGTGAAGAGGTTCTGCATAGCATTCGCCACCTTCTGGGTGTGTGTACACAGGTGTGACCACAGCCATCTTTTCCCACCTTCTCTTACCTTTGTTCACAGTTTGCCCGAAGTCAGTCACAGTTCCCATGTGCAGCACCTGGCAGATCACCTCCTTCCCCATCTGACTCTTGGGATCTTTGATGTGGAGGCTGCTGATGACAGTCGTGGTCCCATTGGGGTGTGTGATAACCTCAGTACTGTTTTCCATTCCTGAGATAGAGACCTTCCAGGAGATCATAGGGGCTGGGCGGGCATTGGCAGAGCAAGTGACATTTAGGTGGTCTTCAGAGAGGTTATAGCGAACGAATACTTTGGGCTGTACTGGGACAAAAAATAATAATAATGGTCTGCTATCAGTTAAGTACCTGGTCTGAGTTTTGAATTCTCAGAGAGATGACAGAATGATTTTTACAATAAGATGGTGGGGGCCAGAAAGATAAGGTAGCACATCCAATCCCAGCTAAGGCCTTCTCAGTTCTTCCTATGTCTAATCCTCTGACCTGCAGGATGGGGACCGGCCTGTGACAAGAAAAATCCTCTCTGTAGTTTGTCTCTAGGTGAGTTAGCTGGATGGACAGAGGATATCTTCTCTCTCAAATAGTCCAGAGCCTCATGATTCTGGTTTCCTTTTTCATGGGCAGTGCAGTATCTGTGCATTTTTCTGGGCATTACTCACAAATAATTTGACAATGACCACCAATGAGCACCTCCATACAAGTGGCCTGCACGTCTCAGAAGCACCAGGGCAGTTTCAGAGCAGAGAGCCCATAGAGAGGTTGCTGCTTAACGTTAGCAATTTTCTTCTTGGAGCTGAACCAGTAAATGAGTTACATGGGAGAAACTTGGGAAGTCCCTGTTTGGAATATCTATACAAAATAAAAACTATGAATTCATAGCCAATAACCAGAAAATCACAGAATGACAGCTGAAAGACCTTGGGGATCACCCGATAGAGTTAAGGACATTATTTTTAGGCCAGCTTTACCCTGTTCCTTTTTAAAAGTCCCTTGACTGAGTTCATTTTCATTGGAATACAGTTTATCTCTGCTGAACAAAATGTGTAACTGTCTTTCTGTGGTTGGCTTTGTAGCCCGCAAGATAATTAGAGGCCAGTGCTAAATTAAAACCTGGTCTGTACTTAGAGGGGTGGGTGGCAGTGGGCTGGAGGAAATGAAGTGACAGAACTGTGGCCTTGTCCAAAGAGTGCCTAGATTATTAACATTTTTGAGCACTGGGAAAGAGCAATAAAAGTGAAGGGAAATGAAGGCTGATGGTTGGCCGGACTGGTGGTAGGGCTCTCTGGTGTATCAAAGAATGACAGATAAAAGTTAGGTATGGCTGGAAAAGTTAGGGCAATGTAGTAAAGAACAATATTACTAGCTAGAGGACTCATAGGAGTCTGGTTTTCAGACAAAAATAATACAAAAGATTATGAGTAAAGGAGGGGGAATAGCAGAAAGAGAAAAAGATGAGCAAAGGAGAAAGAAAAGAAAAAGAAATGAGAAACATGACACCAGAAGAAAGAAAAAGAAAGATGAGATAGGAAGAAGCTAGGAAAGAAGAAAGGGAGGGAGGGAAGGGGGGAAATGAAGGGAGGGAGAAAGGAAGGAAAGACGGAGAGAGGTTGGAAAGAGAGGGGGAGGGGGGGAGAGAGAGAGAGAGAAAGAGAGAGAGAGAGAGAGAATGGAAGAAGTAGAAATGAAGAAGGAAGCCTGACGTAAGATCTTGCAGCGGGGATTCATCACAGCCAAATAAGTGTGCATTGTACTTGGTGTTGTCATATCTCCTTTGCATTCTTATCTATTGAACCTCCTCTTGCCCTATGTCCAGTTTTTCTGGTGTGGTCAAGCTCTCACATTAACATTCCTAATAACCCTGTCTAAGCTTGTCTTTTCCCTCCTAAAACCACCACCAAGTGTGCTATGCTCCAAAGTTACCCCCCATTCCTACTTCTCAATTCTTGATCTCAGCTATATGTCAGTTGAGAGGAAAGGAATCTTGTCAAATTAAGCCTCTTGGATTTTTGAAAAAATGCATTATCCATTTAAATTTCTAGTTGACATCAAGTACGCAGAGCCTCTGCTGCATGTCCCCTTATCAAACCCGAGAGCTACACTGAAACAAAATGGGACGAACCACCATAACTTGTTCCAGGTTAGCCCATTTGGGTTCTGATTTTACATCCAAGAATATTAAAGCTGTCAGAGACACTACAGATAATCTATGCCACACTTACTGTGCAGACAAATTAACTTGGGTGTGCAGAGAGCAGACAGGACTCTTCGATGGTCACATGATTGCTAATGCCAATGCCAGGTCTGCATCATATCACTGTTTATGGAGAACTGGTTGTCCTTACCTGGTCCTTAATTTACTTCTGCTGACCACAGTCTTCCTTAGAGCAAAAGATAGCTCCAGGAAGAGATTCAGTGTAGCCTCATGAACTCTCCAATAACCATAGCCATAGTTACAACAGACATGAAAGGCTAAGTGTCTTCTAACAAATCTTTCTGGGGTTAAGATCCTGAAAAACTAGGTGCTACCACCAAGTTCTAAACATTCTTGAAAATAAGATTTCTAGTCAGACAATGTATTGTCAGAGATTCTCACCAAAGAGGGTGAGGCAGGCTACTCCTGAAATCTTCCCAGAACCGAAGGTATTGAAGAGGCACGTGTAACAACCCTCATCGTCCAGAGTGGTATTCCAGAAGGTAATGGTTGTGTTCTTAAGTCCCAGCTCAGTTATGTTCATCTTATCCTTATAGGCCGGCTGGAGCACAACCCCATGATCCTTGCTGAAAGTGACCATGTTGTCTGGGCTTGAAGCCTTCATTTTCTGCCATGTCACAATCAGGACTTCCTCGGAAGTTTCCAGAAAGCATCGTAAGGAAACAGGTTTGTGCAGCTGCTCTCTTTCATCTTGGGTCAGCACTTTCATCATGGAATCATAAAAAAATAATAATTATATTTTAAAATTTAATACATACATGAATACAAATTTTTCTGATTAAAAACAATGCATGTTCAAAGTCAAATACAGAAAAAAAAGAGAACAAGGCAAAGAAGAAAACATTTACATACATTTCTAATGGTGCCAGGGAAATATACGTTCAAACATGTTTTTTTCCATCTTTAAAAGTAGCAGAGTGGGAAAACAAGAAGGCAAATTCTCAGTGACAAGAAATTGTGTGGAGAATCCCTATATGCTGGAAAAGGGGGTGGAATGAGGTAGAAGATGAGAACTGTCAGATAGGATAGAAGCATTACCAAGTGAATTACTCCCAGAGAGGTAGAAGCCAGGAGCAGGAGACAGCAAATGGACAATAGGCAGAGTGATTAGTTTAAACAAAAAAGATGTAACATCCCTATACATTCCACACACAAGCAAGAGGGAGGACGGTGCAGCAATAGCGGTGTCTGCCCCCAGGAAGCAGTGGCGAACACAGTAACGTAAGTTAGAGAGAGATAACAGGACACTGTTCTGGGGGTGACGGTAGCAGAGAGCTTTGGAGACCGAACAACAATCTACACATTCTCCCATTTTCACCGAGTCCAGTGCGGAGTATAAGGCGTGGCAATAATTTTTCCCCCTCCAATGCTGGCTACCCTTATTGATATGATAGGTTATTCCATGGGAAATCTCAATATAATAACAAACATCTGAGAAAGCTAACACAATGGAAGAAAAACAAACTTTACAAATTCAAGAGTTCATTCCAAGCGAAGAAAGATTTCATAAATCAATAAACACTTGAACAAGAACAAATGTGGTATCTTAAGTGTAAAAAGAAGCCAGAATTGTGAGTAGTAAAAATTAGAGATGTAGAGAATGAGAAATATAAAATTGGAGCAGATTGGCTGACGTAGCAGAATGGATGTCACTCCACAGTAAATGAGCATGTAGAAAGACCATGGGATTCTTTCAGAATGTAGCACAAAGGAATAAAGATAGGGAAGAAATTAAAGAAAAATTCAAAGGCCTGAAATGTTTCAGGATCAATCCAATAAGACTTTTAAAAGAAGAGAAAAGGGAGATTGGAAGACAAAAACAGTGTAAGGGATAAATATATATTTTTCAAAATAATAAAAAGAACAATATAAATAAGATATATTAATCATGAACCTCTATGCACCTAAAAAAATAATTCAAAAATAAAGCTAATAAAACTACAAGAATTTTTTTATAAATCCACAATCATAATGGGATAGTTTCTATAGTTTTCTCAGAATTTTCACTTCCATATATTAAGAAAATAAGTAAAGCCAAAAAGTCAAATATAAAAGATTTGAAAAAGAAATATTTATATATAAATTATATATATATGCATTTACAACCTTTTACCCAAAAGAGAATATCCAATCTCTTCAAAAACATGTGAAACATTTTCCAAAAGTGAACTTGAAATAGGATACAAAAAAATGTGCTATCCTCTGACCTGAACACAGGGCACAATGCAATAAAATTAGAAATGTACATGCTTCTTTTAACTAAATGCACCAGAAATAATAGCAAGAATTATAAATCACTATAAATGACATTGAGAATACAATATGTTAAAATCCGTAGAAATTGATAAAGTGGTTCTCAGAGAGAAATATTTAACCCTAACTTCATTTATTAGGAAACAAGAGAGACTGAAAAATTGATACATACACAGATCTAAACATCCCCCGCCCCCCACCAAAAAAAAGTAGGAGTAGATTAATAAAGATAAAAGCACAAATAAATAAAATAGTACATAAAATGAAGACTTAATGAAAAACACCATAATCTATTGTTTTAAGACTAATAATATAGATAAAATGTTGGCTAGTGTAATTAGAAAAAAAGAAGTCAGCACAAGCAAACAATTTTCTCTCAACATGAGGCATAAAAAGATGGGCATAGCAACAAATACAATTTGGAGCCCCTAAGTGTTATGTGAGTCCAGTTTTGGTGAGGTGGGCTCTTGCTAGATGTGAAAAGTTCTGAGGACAATACCTGTTGTTGGGAATGGGATTGCCTAAAAGTTTTTTGAGATTCTGCCTATTAGCGATTTGAAGAAATTGCTGCTTTTAGAATGGAGAGTAGAAATGGATCAAAGCTAGAGTTTTAACTTCCTAGCTGATTTTTCTCTTTAACTATGAAGAAACCATTTAGCCCAGCCCACGGTGTGGCTCAGTGGTTGAGTGTCGACCCATGAACCAAGAGGTTGTGGGTTCAATTCCTGGTCAGGGCACATGCCTGGGTTTCAGGCTCAATCTTCAGTAGGGGACATGCAGGAGGCAGCTGATCCATGTTTCTTTCTCATCTCTGTTTCTATGGCTCTATCTCTTTCCCTTCCTCTCTCTCTAAAATCAATTTTATACACACACACACACACATATATATTTAAAAAAAAACATTTAGTGGAGAGTTTACAATTCTTTACTGCTTATATAGAATCCCATTTAAATGCCCCCAGTTAGTTGGTAAATCCTGTGTTGCAGGTGATGTGAAGTCTGCCCTTCCTTCACTTATGAAGGCAGACNGGCTCAATCTTCAGTAGGGGACATGCAGGAGGCAGCTGATCCATGTTTCTTTCTCATCTCTGTTTCTATGGCTCTATCTCTTTCCCTTCCTCTCTCTCTAAAATCAATTTTATACACACACACACACACATATATATTTAAAAAAAAACATTTAGTGGAGAGTTTACAATTCTTTACTGCTTATATAGAATCCCATTTAAATGCCCCCAGTTAGTTGGTAAATCCTGTGTTGCAGGTGATGTGAAGTCTGCCCTTCCTTCACTTATCACAGAAGGTGATAAAAGGCCAGCTGCAAAGCAAAGAGTGGCCTCCAAAAGAAGAGAGGAGGAAGTTCCAGGACAACTAGGAAATGCAGCAGATACATGAATATCACAGGCATATGCTTTATATAACAGACTATGTGAACCTAGGTAACCTCTATATTTCATTATTTTCTGTTTTTCTGTAAAAGAGGGGCACACTCAGTTTTAGGCTTACTACCAGATTACCTTCCCAAAAGGTTGTATTCATTCATGCTCCCCCAAGCATTCCCATAGCTTTATAAACATAGGTAATTATTGTTTTAAAAGTTATTTGAGCTGATATGTAAAAAAATCTTAATTTAGAATTTTTTCATGCCTGAATTTATCTACAGAAACAGTGTCTAAAGAACAGTCTCCTTTCACTTTGAAAACAAAAATACTTTGCAAAGTAGAAAGAATCACTCTCACTCTCCCAATCCAATTATACATTTCAACATTCATGCAGGCAAATGAACCAACACAGCAGAAACAAAGGTGGCCAAAGCTCTCCAGTCGTATCTGGTCCCCTGGACTCCATGCAGAGAAATGGAGCATCTTTACCTCGAGCCCTACATAGCATCACTGCGGCCACGAACCAAATCAGTCTGTAGGTAGACAGATGACAGAAGGACCTCTCGAACACCTGAAGGCAGAGAGCAAAGTACAAAACAGGTATTTGAATGTGGACAAAGCTAAGGAAGCTTCAATCCCGTCACCATCTCAGGGAACGTTGCAGCTAAAGTTTTAAACACCAGAGAAGTTTGGTTTGAGAAAGCAGAACCACGGACAATAAAATAACAGAAATAACAGAGTGTACTCAGGATATGAGAAGGGGAAGCTGCAGTGAGGCGCCTCCATTGCGGCAATCCCCAGCAATTTGAGGCCTGGCTCCTAAAGCCACCATGGTCAAAAGCAGAATCCCGAAGGCATGGGATCTCTGAGGAAAACAAAGGGCCACGAATACACAGAAAACAGAGACTACAAATGTTAGAGAGTACCCACTTCCAAATAATCCACATCGGTTAATATTACAAATGTAACTCAGGGGGACCACCTGTTAGAAACAAGAGACTGTCTTGCAGTTTGCTGAGGTAGATTTTCCTGCAAATTCTGCAAACTTTAAATAAATTGTACCTTTTAAAAACCAGTAATGGCCCTAGCTGGTTTGGCTCAGAGATTAGAGCATCGGCCCGCGGGTTTGATTCCAGTCAAGGGCATGTATCTCCACGGCAGGCTTTATTCCCGGCCGGGTCAAGGCACGAGTGGGAGGCAAGTAATCGATGTGTCTCTCACATCCATGTTTCTCTCCTCTCTCTCTCTTTCTTTCTTTCTCTCTCTTCCTTCCATTCGCTCTGAAAAGCAATGGGAAAAATATCCTTGGGTGGGGATTGACAATGGATAAAAATTAAAACTAAAAACCCAGTAACGGCTGTATTTTTTTCTTTATTGTTTTATTTTCACATGTCTGGCATAAATTCTTGCTTTTTTATAAATCCTGTTGGTATTTAAGGGAGCGTTATTCTAGGTATCATTTTGCTATAATATGTGGGCAGAATGTAGACAGAATAATTTCTTGTGCAGTAGCCGCATGGATCTCTTCACTTGGTCTACATGTAGGTGTTCATTATAAAGGGTATAGGCAAGAAACGTAACTTTTCCTTACATTTTTTTCTATATTTATAAATTTTTCTACAATAAAAGTATGTAAGAAATGTGCATTTTTTGTATTTTTTTTTTTTAACTGAAGTTCATTCCAATTAGAAATAGAGACTTAATTTCAATGTCGCATTATCTTTTTCAGTTCAACTCTGGCAAACCCAACACTACACGATTGTCCCAATCTCTGGCATTGCATCTATATTTCTTAGGGCTTACATAATGCCAAGCCTTGGGACAGGGCTACTAATCCTTGGTAACAAATGCCTATCCATGCTGGCATTCCCTAAGGTTGCTGTGTTCCCAAATTATCCAGGTCATCGATCTCTGTGCAATTAAATTCTGTGCTTACAAGGTATTCTCTCTGGTTCTTTCACATGTTCTGATTCCGTGCTCCTGGATTCTTCTTGTGCTAGGCAAAGGGAAATTCTGCAAGGTTTTCTGCCTAGACTCCCATGTATCTATCCACCTCTGTTTTACTGTATCCTATCCACAGTCCCTAAGCCCTGCCCCCAGGAAAGCAAGGTACAGGGGCTTTCTGTTCTTAGATTTTAACATCTACTTGTAAGGTATATTTACCATCTTCCTGAATTCCCCACTCTTAGGGGATGGATACAGGGTCTCCTTTCCAGAATATAAACTGGTGTCTGAACCTAGACATTAGTTGATCCCTCTTTGCTCTCCCAGAATAAAAAATATTTATTTTCTTTAGGGTCAGAAAGCTGGTTGCTCCACCACCTTCCATTCCTCCCATTAACTCTTTCTGGAATAAATATATGTTCTTGGTCTTTTAGCACTTAGGCTTTTAAAAACTCAAATGCTTAGGCTCTTGCTATTTTAAAACTTTGGTTTCAGAAACTAAAATGTCTTCTTTGACATTTTAATTCCACACCACTTTTTTTTTTTAAAGCATGATGACTCTCTCATGTGGAAATCCAAGTTTTAGCAAAGGTGGAGATGAGAAATGCAGAATGAATTGGCTGTCATAGTGAATACCTGTTTTCGGACCACAGAGAAAGCAGACACACACCAAAACACAAGATGTGTGAAGTGGCAGCCAGCAATGTTTGAGAAACAAAGACACAACAATTGAGGCAAAGGGAATTATAAGGAAAGCCTAGCTATTAAGTATACACATATGTACTCTGGCTGACTTGAGCTGAGGATAGCAGAAATACTAGATGTGTGAGCTAGGACAAATGCTTTTAACTCTCTAAGATGCAGGAAAAATAATAGTAAAAAGACTAAATGAAGTATTGTATGTAAAGCTCCTAGAATAGTGACTGACACAAATAATCACTAAATAAATGTTGATGCTGGAGTTTTGGTCAAGATGGCAGAGTAGGATGATGCTGTACTTGCCTCCTCCCATGATCACACCAAAATTACAACTAAATTACAGAACAATCAACCTGGAGAACCATCTGAACCAGCTGAACAGAAATTCTATAACTAAGGATATAAAGAAGCAGCCATGCTGAGACTGGTAGGAGGGGCGGAGATGCAAAACAGGCTGGTCCTACACCCACTTGTGGTATTTGAGAACCCAGAGAGGTATCTCAGCTGCAGAGATCTCCCCTGAGGTGCAAGGGGTCTCAGCCTCACACTGGACTCCTCAGATCAAAACACCAGTGTTGAGAAGAGAAGCCCATATAACATCTGGTTATGAAAATCAGCAGAGATTCCCTCCATCCAGGTAAGATGAAAGGGTGCTAGAAACCTGGGTGTCTTCTAGGGCCTGCACACAGTCTCACTTACACGCACTCACCTTGGGCTCCTGCAGAGGGACAGTGGCTGGGATGGGGATGGGGGTAGGTGGGTTCCAGAGACATACAGAGACAAACTGAGTTGTGCAGTTTCAGGGTAAGGGCTGGAAAGACACCAACCATTGTCTATGTGTTGAGCCCTCTTCCCCACACAGTCAAATTTGATTCTGTATCGGTCTGGTGAACTCCACTAGCTCCACCCTGATAACTCCCTGGGACCCCACCCCACTGCAAAGGTCTGCAGGCCCAGATAGGTGGTGGCTTTTGCTGGATAGTCTCAGGCTCAACACTGGCACCAAATTTGAACTATTTTGAATCTGTATTAACCTGGTGAACACCACTCACACCACCCTGGTGATTCCGTGATTCCCTGAGATCCCATCTCAGCAATTTGCATACTTCCTTCTGAGGTGTTTTTTTTAATCCTCACTTGAGGATATTTTCTCCATTGCTTTTTTTAAAAGAGAGAGTGGAAGGGAGAGAGAGGGAAAGAAACATCTATGTGAGAGAGAGGCATCAACTGGCTGCCTCCTGCACCTGCCCTGCCTGGGGCTGGAGCCTGCAACAGAGGTAAGTCCCTTGGCCAGAATCGAACCCAGGACCCTTCAGCCTGTAGGCCGATTCTCTAACCACTGAGCAAACCTGGCTAGGGCCTGCCTTAGGTTCTTTCAGCAGCTGAACCTTAGGGCAAATGGTAGGCAGGAGCAGGTCTTAGGTGTCCTTGGCCTTTTGTTAAGTTGACTTTGGGCTCCATACTGGTGCAAGCCTAAGTTCACAGCACGGTCTCTCTTACACACATCCAGGCTCTGCACAGACAGTACCAAGTGGGGATAGTTTTGTAGCTCTTAATAGGTAGCCCCAGCTGGTCACACGCAGAGTCTGACACTGAGCTGCACCAAAGCTCAACCCCCCAAGAAGCCCCAGAACCAACACACCCAACGGATGGTTTCAGACCACAACAGAGCACCATCCAATTAGCTTCACAAGTAACATAACCAAAGGGTAGTCTCGGCCAGCACCAGACCCTACTGAGTCGAATCCTGGTCCATAGGGTCAGCCCCTGCACAGCATCTTATATGCTGTGGTGGTGGCCAATCCCCATAGACAGTCAGCCTGAGGGTCAATCACACCCACTGACGTACCAACAGCAATCAAGGATCTACTACAACAGGGCACATGCCACCCACAGAAGGGATATTCCTGGAGCACCAGGCTCAGGTGATCAGGGAGACTGAACACTGGGCCCCACAGGACACCTACTACATGAGGCAACCTGCCAAGAATGGGAAATGTAGCAGATCTATCCAACATATAGTAACAAACACAAAGCAGCAGCCAAAATGGGAAGACAAAAAAACATGTCCCAAATGAAATAACATGAGAAATCTCCAGAAAAAGAACTAAATAAAATGGAGGCAAACAAACTACCAGATACAGAGTTCAAAACGCTGGTTGTAAGGTTGCTCAAGAAACTTAGTGAGCCCAGCTGGGCCTGGCTCAGCGGTTGAGCATCGAGCTGGGATCCAGGCGATTGGGGCTCGATTCCCAGTCAAGGCACATGCCCGGGTTGCGGGCTCGATCAATGACTCTCTCATCATTGATGTTTCCAAGTCTCTCTCTCCCTCTCCTTTCCTCTCTCTGAAATCAATAAAGATATATTTTTAAAAAAAAGAAAAAGAAAAGAAACTTAGTGAGAACATCAACAAAGATATAGTAAGCATAAAAACACACACACAGAAGCCATAAAAAACAAGTCAGAGATGAAGAATACAAGAACTGAAGTGAAGAATACACTAGAAGGAATCAATGGATTAGATGCAGAGGACTGAATCAGCAATTTGGAAGACAAGGTAGCAGAAAACACCCATTCAAACAAGCAAAAAGAAAAAATAATTTAAAAATAAATGAAGATAGTTGAAGGAACCTCTAGGACAACATGAAGCACAACATTAGCACCATAGGGATACCAGAATAAAGAAAGAGCAAGGGATTGAGAACCTATTTAAAGAAATGATGACTGGAAATTTTCCTCACCTGGTGAAAGCAATAGATATACAAATCCAGGAAATGCAGAAAGTCCCAAACAAGATGACCCCAAAGAGGCCCACACCAACATTATTATAATTAAAATGGCAAAGGTTAAAGACAAAGAGAGAACCTTAAAAGCAGCAAGAGAAAGACAATTAGTTACTTACAAGTGAGCTCCCATAAGACTATCAGCTGATTTCTCAACGGAAACTTTTCAGATCAGAAGGGATTGGCATGAAATATTCAGAGTGAAGAAAAGCAAGGGCCTACAACCAAGATTGCTCTACACAGCAAAGCTATCATTAAAACTGAGAGAGAAATAAAAAGCTCCCGAGACAAGAAAAAGCTAAAGGAGTTTATCACCAACACACCAGTATTACAAGAATTGTTAAAGGGGCTTTTTTAAGAACAAAGAAAAGGAACCAAAAAGGATCATAGTTATGCCCAGCCTGTGTGGCTCAGTGGTTGAGCACGGACCCATGAACCTGGAGGTCCAGGTTTGATTCCCAGTCAGGGCACATGCCCGGGATGGGACCCAATCCCCAGTAGGGCGCATGCAGGAGGTAGCTGATCGATGATTCTCTTATCATTGATGTTTTTATCTCTCTCTACCTCTCCCTTCTTCTCTCTGAAATCAATAAAAACATATTGGTAAAAAAGGATCATATTATAAAG